ACTGCTTGCTGGATGTAATATCTCTTTGCAGTTCATGCTGTATTGTTCCCGGAACCAGCTTATAAAGGACCCGAAAGAGTTACATATTTCAATGGAGCTGAATTATATGTTTGTTATTCGCGAATTTTTTTTTGATATGTTTGTAATTTTTTATTTCATCTAGTTTTACTTTTCAATTGTTATGAGTATATACGTTATCAATAATTGTGACTGTTTTAATTCGGTAATTTGTTTTACTGTTGCTGTTTTTGTGCTATTCCTTTCATCGTTACAGGAAGAGATACAGAAAAATAAACGCGTTACGTGGTTAGTGCAGTTCTATACAACTTGGTCACCGGAATGTAAACACATTGCACCGGTATTTTCACAGCTCAGCGATAGGTTGTCTTTGCCTTTGCGGATTGGTTTCGTTGATTCGGTTTTGTTCGATTATTCATTTGTTGTAATGTATTTTCAAGTGCAATGATCAGTTTCATTTGGACAGATTCGCCTTACCAAATCTACGGTTCGCAAAACTGGACGTGGGTCGTTGGGCGAAAGAAGGTGAACGTTTCAGAATCAATACGCACCCTGCGAGTCGACAGTTACCGACGGTTAATTTTGTTTAGTATATGTTCCGTTCTTGATTCGTTTAACTTCAGTTTAGTGTGGGTTATTCCATGGTTTATTGTATAATCCAAGTAATATTGTGATGATTCATGGAGAATGAGAAAATTATGAAACATTATTGTAGCATTTTGATTTTGAAAATTCGTAAGCGTAATAAAAAGATGTTTTTGGTTGCATTCTTATTGTTNACCGTTCGTGTTCACTCCGGTGAATTTATGCTCTCTCATCTTTTATTGCTGGTGTTATTATTCGTTCGAATAAAATCATCCGAAATGAAATTTCAGGAGAATTGTATTCTCGAATTTGACATAAATAATCTGTATAATGAATGCAAAACAAACTTGGGCAAACACAGCAGACATCAGATGCAGAAAGAGGGAGAGGAAGCAGCTAAGAAGAATGCCTAGAATTATGTTACGTATTTGTATTATTCACAGTAATTGTTCATTAATTTATTCATTTCATTGAATGGTTAGTTTCTTTATTTACTTTCATAAACTTGTTAGTTTTCCTCCATAAATAGGTACACACCCAATTAATGATGCAAAAAGAGCAAATTCCTCTCGAAAACACTTCGGTTTGCAATCGTTTTCCTGTTTTTTTTGGAATTGATCTCGTAGCACTATCCTCATATAGTTGAATGAAAATAAAACTTAGGATTTGCTTGAAATGTTATTGGAAGGTATATTCGTAGAATTAACTCGCTTTCTTGAATATTTGCTGTATATAAATGTAATGTGTTGTATTATTATATACCAAGAAATGCATTTGCAGAATTGTACCGCTTATGAGCTTTAGATTTCATTTATAATTCTTTCAAATTTTGCAATCGTTTCGTTATTTTGTACCAATTCCCTCTTCAGATTTCTTTTCGAACGCAAAATTGTTAACATTTTTAGATATCTCAGAACGCTGACGATTTTCTTACTTGTTCTGCATGGTTTAAGCTTGTACCGTACGGTTCAAAATTATGATA